GAAGGACAAGAGTCCAGGATTGGGATATTCTGCTCAGAGGCTGCATGGTTCAGAACAAGACATTGGCAGGCAACATCAATATAGACAAATCATTAAGACAAACACCAATATTTTGAGTAAAACATTGCATATGAATTTCTTCAGTTTCCTGGGCTTGTATATTAGCATTCTTCAGACAAAAGCAGAATGTGATTTGGGAACTAAATATTCCATTTAACTCTCATTTGTTGATCTGAATGACCACAAAGTAAATTAGTCTTTTTAAAAAAGGAGCTATTAAGTTAGAATGTTGGAAAAAACCTGTAATTCAAGCAAAAGAGAAAGTCACCGTAATTTCTTGAAACTGTAATCCTATTATTAAAGTAACCATTTAAGATAGCACAGCAAAATAGCATCAGGCAATATGCAAGTATAACTTTGTTATTTGGAAGATGCACAACCCAACCTAGCACCAGTGGTGCCTCAGTATTCTAGCATTACACAGGACACCAGTCTTTCACTGGCATCACTCTGGCCAGGCCCCATTATCATTCTTCCAGCTTCTTCCAAGAACTGGCACAGTACTTTAGTGCAGGACTTTCCCTAATTTAATGGGGAGCTGGAGGAAGGCCATATTCCCCTTTCTCCTGCAATGATATGGGTCAGTGAACCTTGAAGAAGGCAGGAACAAGAATTGTACTGGGATAAGATGTCTGATTAAGAGGGATCTAGGGCACAGAGAGCAGCAGCAGTCACCCTGTATTACAGTCCTAGTTATATTAAAATAAAAAAAAAAAGCCCCCACAAGGCAAGTTTTAGCCTCATCAGTTTTTCCTTCTTTCTCAAGTTATAAGCAATCACTTGTACTACGGGTTAATGAAGCATCCAGGCCAGTCACCAGAAGACTCATGCTTGCACAACAGGCTTAGATTACTTTGATAAGGGAGATGATTTATAGGGGGTTTTGCCCTAAAGAATCAGTTAAAGTTTCTTCAGAGCCACAATGCACTATTTTTAATTGCAGAAAGATTGTTTCATGCATCCATGAAGCTGTATGGCTAACATGCATGGGTTTGTGGATCAGTTTGCAAACCAACAGTTTAAAGGCAATTGCAAACATTTTGGACACTTCAGGACTGAGAGACTAATGTCAAAACAATTACCTGAACAGAAGCATGAGGCATCCCAAGAACTTTTTTTTAAAATGGGATGAGCAAGAAAGCAAACAAATTGAGTAATCTCAATCCCACATCTCCATAAATTCAAGAACAATTAACAGAGAACTCTAAATGAGACAGTAGGTGCATTTGGAAGATGAACCAAGAAGCAGTTGCTGTGAGAAAGTGAGACACCAGGAATCCACGTGGAAGAAAAACAGCAATAAGTTGATATTCCATCTGAGCAGTGAGACAACACGCAGAGAAGCTGTATTAGATCAACTTTATTATGTTATCAAAGTTTGACAATAAAATATTCAAAAATCTCTTGAACACATTCATACACAAAAAGAGCATATAAAATGCTAGGTCTCAGAATATATTCCATACAAAATACTGTTAAGTGTAGAGCAGCAAAGTCATTGCCAAACATTCCCTGAATTTAAGAGGGCCTTGAACACACTGTGTTCCAAGAACTACCTTAATACCAAACATTCCTTCCTTTGGTCTGCAAGTCCTTTGCAATTATTGCTAGTTATTGAAGCCTTCTGTTTTTAAACAGAATCACACAGTGACTCTGGACCTCTTCAGAAGTGTTACAATGACAGCTGAAAGCTTCTTCAGCATTTTCTATACATTTTGTCAAAAATAAGAAACACATTTGGTCCTCAAGACTATTTTTGGTTTCTGAAAATATCCTGGAAGAATAAAACCAAGTAAAAATCATGGAGAGAGACATGATCAATATGAGTTAGGTATAATGAAGATATGTCAGTGAATTCGAACATTTCAACCGTGCAGTGTGGCAAAGCACCTGAGTTACTCCTCTTAAAGAAGTGCCACATTCTCCTCTCTATAAAGATTTGTTTCTTCACACCTCTCTCCCCACGAGAATCTATAATGCTCAAGTGCACATGGCTCTAGCAGGCCTGTAACAGTAATGCTAAATACTCTTGCCTTGTAGAGGAACATGCCATAGTGAGTAAGCACTTCTCAACAGGCTAAGTGAAGTGGTTCAGTTTCAATGACTAGAATAACATAGTTTACTTGCTGCATTCACTTGTCTATGAGAACTCCATCCTAATACGCAAGAAACTGAAAATGATAGGGCTGAAGATGATTTGGTAGAAATATCGCAAGTTCTGGATGTAAAACAAGACCTATAGTCTGCAGAACCATCACACTCAATCAAAATCTCACCAGCAGCACTGTGCTTGCTCTAACACAGTACTTAGAGCTCAGGAACTCACATTCTTGCACAAGGCTTTATGGTGACAAACAATATAAAACAAAAAAAAAAAAGCCCTGAAAAACTTTCGGCTTCATTGTATCAGGTTAATTAACCCAAGTTCCTTTAAGTAGACACATTCTAGGGCTTGTCTGCTAGCTGATTTACAAACACTACTAGGTTGCCAAAAATCAGAAAAAAGATACTTTTTTTTTCTTTTGGAGCACGAAAAGTAATATTAAAAAAGTAGAAAAGGAAAAAAAAATAAAAAAATAAAGAGTATCTTTTAGAATCATGTATACTAGAACTTCAAATCACAAAAAACCCTGAAGCTAAACTCTTGGTATGAGACTGAAAATGCTACTGATTAATGGGTAAGGATCTAAGTGAAGCTTAGAAACAGGTTAAGACCTGTATACCTCTGTTCTTGTCTCATTTTTTCAGCCCTTGATGCCCATGTTAGTAGCGTGCAATACAGCCTCCAGCTCCATGCATTCTAGTGCTTATTAACAGGCATTCTACTTCAGCAAGAAATACAGATTGTGATAAGCTGTTTTCTGTAATTTCTTTCTGTTGTAAACCAGCAACATAGCAATTAATTCAAAAATTGAGTCAGACCACAGGAAGAGCTTTATCATCTTTGAGCAGTCTTGGAACACAAGCCTGAAGCTTATCCAGCTTATCCATGCATAAAATAGAACACTTGACTAACGGACTTTTTTTTGTGGGGTTTGTTGTTGTTGGGTTTTCAGTGGGTTTGTTATTGTTTGTTTTTTCTTATTTCAAGAGTTACCAATTATAAATGGCTTGGGGCAACTCAGTACTTAAGTCTGGAAAAGTCTAGGCAATATCGCTGCTGAACTGTAGGTTCCTGGGCAACTGATGACAAGATAAATGTTCCATTTTAAAAATCAGGAAACTCTGTCTTCTTCCTCAACAAAAGTAATAGAAACAACGCAGGAGGAAAATGAAGCTACATAAGAAAGTTAAAACCTAGGAAGATATTTAGCTTATCTATTACCCTAGTTCAAGTTGTTCTTGATTTACAAGTCATTTCTGAATTAAAACTTAAAGCCTTAAGCCTACCTCCTGTGCCAAAATGTTTGCATTCTACAGTAACGAGAATTCAAACCTGTCATTTCAAGACATCGATATGTTTAATAGCAACAAACATTTTATGCATCCTACCAAAATTGTTAAAAACTTTACCCTTTAGACAAGTTCCATTTCTTAAGTAATGAATCCACAATAGTTCTGAAACTCTTAAAATGTTTTTCTTGGCGGACCTAGCATTTTGAAAGCATTCAAAATTGTGTTTTCAGAAAACTAAGTGCAGTCTAACTGGGTGACTTGGTTTTAAAGCAAGCAAAAGAAAAATCTTTTAAGTGAAACGATTTTTCCAGCAGGACTTCCATAATCGAGGTTGTACATCTGATGGCCTTTAGGCTATCATACCTGTGGAGTTCAGAGTAGAATTTTATTTTTTTAAGACATTCAGTAAAACTGTATGTAAATACTGTATAAAATTAACGGAGTTGCATCTGCAGCAATTTATATAAACGTTTAAGGAACAGTGTATCCCAAATTCTTGAAACAGCAATAATGAAACTTGTAATCTATGGGACATGAATTTTAGTCTGAACATGTGAAGTTTCTTTTCAGCTAATGCAATGTTGATCCAATCACTGCTTGGTCAGTAACTGGATCACAGCCTAAGTATTTGACAGGGAACAACATTTATACTTCATACTGTATTAAGCTGGCTTCCATTCCCCACTCCATTTCAGGAAGTTCACTTTTCTTTTTGAATTAATGCCCACCATCCATTATCATTTCCACTACAGAAGATCATTTTTCACCCAGAAATGCAATTCAGCACTGTATGGATTGTTTGCTGGTATTCAATTACCTTTAATTTATGTGCTACTCCACACAGCTATAGTTATTGCAAGCACCAACCACTGTTCGGCTTCTTTCCCTCATTGATAAATAAAGCACAACATGAGAATTCCTCAGATTCCAGACTAAGTAATCAGGTTCTAGAAGCTGATGAGCAAACAATTTCTTCCTTTTTTTTTAAAAAAAAAAAAAGGTACCTAATAGGAAGCTTCAAGTAACTCACACACCTGTCTTTTCCCCAAAAGCTGCAACTCTTAAAAGAAATGCTGGATTATGACAAAAGTAGTACAGTACCAGGCAGACCTCTTCCCTATCTTACCTAGTAGATATGCACATTTACAAACTAAGGTACTGGGAACTGTGGATTGGAATATGCAGGACTCTAAAAAAGTTCACTGTGCTTCCTAAATTGTTAATATAATTCCCTTGGTTTAGGGCAACCTGAAATTGCAATCCTTCCTAGCCCTCCCACTCCAAACCCTGCAAAAACCACACAAAGGAACTCAGGTAGCTATAATTCTATGTAGTATGTGCAAAGAACTGCACAGTCTCCAAATGAAAGTCGTATGAATACTGGACATACCACCAGAGGCACCAAAATGCATATTTGACCAAATTTGCAGAATGTGAAAATACCATGAAGCATAAAACACAAATCAGAGACAAACGATCATTTAGGACACCAAACAGCTTTTTGAACACAGCCTTAAAAAACCCCAACAAAATAAATAATTCAAATATCTAAATATCAAGGGATTAAAAGGTATTTTCCCCATATTTAAGGGAAGGCATCACAGGTGAGGAAAATAACTGTCAACACAAGGTATCACAAATCAAAAAGCAGCTTTTTCACATAGGAGATAGTAGTATCATTGGATAGCATTTGAATATGCTCATTTCCTGAAAGCTCAAATATCACCACTTCCTGTTTTTGCCTGTCCACCCACTTTTGACATTGCAAGGCACTCTGTAAGTTTACTGTACCATCCCCATCGCTGTAAAGAATCTTCGGTTCTTTGTCAGGAAAACTTTCATAATGGAAGGAATCTGGTGTTTCCACGCCAGTACCATAAAGACAGTGTATGCGCACACCAGGTGGTGTCATCTGGTAGACCAGGTGTTCGGTGTCTTGTCTCATGAGCCAGCCATCTTCAAAATTGATGTCCCTGTAGAATTTTCGGTAATCCCGAAGCGTGTAGTTAGCTGTAGGTGTGCTTACAAAGACCTTATCTGGAGGCCATGTGTAGTTGTAGGGGAGCATCCAATTTGTGGAAACCGCTGATCTCTGCTGGTCTCTAATCTTGAGTGAGCTGATAACAGGTATTCTATTGTTGTCACCTTAAAAAAAAGTGGAATTTCATTATACATGAAGCAAGCATGAATCTCAACCAGAAGCAATTACTACCACTCTCAGTGATAACATGAATAAAAATATTATTCCCTTTGCTAACAGTGGCCATTTGAGAAGTTTTGCCTCATTTACGATTGTCTTGGTAATTAACTTCTGCAAACTAACTTTTTGATAACTTACAATTTAAATACAAGTTGATGAATGAATGACTGACAAACCAAGAACGGCTGCCTTTCCAAAATACTCCTTTTTAAGGGAGAAAAGCATTTCCTATATGAGTCAAGTAAGAAATCAGCTTTTATTAGGCATTATTTATACCATTTGCAAGTTTTGTCTTAAATGCTCTTCTGGAAACGTGTTTTACAGCAATTCTGATACCTAGATCATGTTTTTGCTGAAAGAACAGATAAATGCTACTATCCTTACATACACGTAAGAACTCATTTAGAGCCTTTATAGGCTGAACAAAACATTTAAAGCTTTACACATTCAAAACAAGCAGAGCAGCAGTATTTAATTCAGGATAGCTATAAAAATTACTATATGGTTTATTTACCATTTGGCATAGTGTTTTACCAGTTTATGCACTCCCTTCATAACAAAACCTACCAGAACATGCCTACAATTGAAAGAAAATGGTAGAGGCCCAATAGCTACCTAGAAAAACTTGTCATAAAAGGAAACAGAAGCAAAGCAAGTATTACTGCGCCTGCTTATGCTATCAAGTAAGAATGCTGCACTCAGCAAGCAACTGAGTCTCTATACATAGTACTTCAGCAAAAGAAAAGTTGGAGCTTGTTAGCTTCTAGTGGGAAACACGGAAAATCACCAATATCAGCATCTTCCCTTCCAGTCAGCATTTCAAGACTGCTAAAATACTCGTGTTGCTCAGAACACAGGTTTTCTCTAATGTAGCACTAATTTTCTAGCAACTCTGGTAACCTAAGCTGTATCTTTGCCAGGGGGAGGCGATGGGGACACAAAACCAACAATCCTTGAAAGACCAGTTGATAACTACTATACTTGGGAAACATTTTCAGCTGGCCAAGCTTTTCCAAGGATTTCTATTTTCTTAATACAATATAAATCTAAGGATCTAGAGTTTATTATCAATAAAGGTCTTAAATTATCTAATACCCAAGTTTAGATTTATTCTTATTACAGAACTAGTATTTGACAAAAAAATTCCAGTTTTTGTAGACATCAAGTCTATTGTTTTCTTAGCAGTTTGTCCAAAGATGGCTCAAACTAACACATGACCAAGTTATAATTCATATGCATCCTTCTTCATATTTTAACCACTTGCATAATTTTCCACAAAATTAAAAGCTGTTTAATAAGTGACAGATATAGTGATTACTAGAAATTTTTTTTTTTTTTTTTAACAAAAAAACCCTGAGACAGATTCAAGTTTATTTTCATGGTGACTGTCTGATCAGACCTATTTTCCTTTATCACAATGGCTGGCACACCTCAATTCTTTTGCCAGCTGAACCTCAAATCAGATTTTCCATTATTGGGTCCAGGTTGTTACAGCATATAGTGATCCAGGTCAACCACACCATAAAAATTGAAATACTTAAACTGAAACTGCTATTCCTGAAATAGCACCAAAGTATATTTTTCAATTCCGTAAGGTGGCACTGTTGTTTCAGCAAGGAGACCTAAAGCACAGTCTTTAATGCCATGTTTAGGAGGACTGTATGGAGACGTTGCTAGTATAACTCCAAGAGATAAAATGGAAACTCAAAAGAGCACAGCAAGAATCACAAAGGTCCTGAGAAACGTGTTTCATATTACTGTCCAGTCTAAATACTCAACTATGCACACTCACCATTAAGCTACTGAATACTACTTGGCAGTTTTCAGCAAAGAAAGCCCAAGTTCTGAATTGAACAATGAAATGAATGCATACAAAAATTATTTCCAGTAGAATAATCAGACACAGAACTTGACTGTTCCATCCTTCTCTTACAGAACTGTTACATAATACTTAGCAAATCCTTTACTTTTCTGTGAAGTGCAGAAGGACAGTATGGCCAATACCATGCTTAAGTCAGCAGGCACAACACTCATTGACGTTATACTGAATGAAATACTAGGTCTAAGGAAGACACTGCTAGCATCTCAAGCTGAGAAAAAAACCTAACAAACAAACCAACACAGTGAACTGTGTGTCTTTGCTTGCTGTAGTGGGAAGAACATCCTCACTTTATTGGCACTGGAATTGTAATGATATAAGTATTGATCCTGCAAAGCACATGAATAAGTAGCAGAAAGTATCACAGAAGATCTAGATAAAATAATTCCACCTGGGTACTGTTTACCACTTTGATAACACAACTGTGGATTTGACAGGAAGTTCCTAGCCATTACCATATTATAAACAGGAATGGGAGCAGAAAGAATGCATTCATAGCTTGCCCTGTCTTTCCTGCAGCAACGCAGTATTTTTCTTTAAAGCAACAATTCTTCTGCATACTAACACCCTAATAACGTCAATTTTAGAAACTCTTTAATAGACTAATGTAATCTAAGTGTTAATGCCCGATGGTGGTGATTTACTACAGGTATTTGAGAACTAGCCTAAAAACGTGCATTCTGATATTATGTTCTGCCCATTTAGCTTTCGTAGATGATTCTTAAACTTCTGCTCTAAAACACAGGGTTTAGTACAACAGACATACAGATTAGAAGATGACTACATTTTAGTAGAAATTTAGCTATTCATTATGCATTTGTATAGCTAGCCACTATGGATGAAATACATTATAAAGGATAAACAAGATGTGAAGCAGAAAAAAGTTTAATCCAACAGAAATCTAGGCCTGTGGAATTTTATATAATCTTGGAATTTTATGAAAGTGATATTAACATCGCTCACTTCCTGCCATTTCTGTAGCATGCAAAGTTGTCAGACAAAGCCTGTGGAAAAGGGAAATCAATTTTTAGTGCCATTGCACTAGATTTCACAATGTATAACTCAATACAAATATCCAATTTAAGTTTTCTAATTAGTAACTGAGCTGTGCACTCCTATTCAGAATCAAATGCCTTTGCTAAGCAAAGTATTCTTTGATCTGTCCATGCCTGGCTGGCACTTGCTGTGTGCTCTGCATTTTGATGAAGTTGTCCAGTTTCTGATGTCAGCTTTGTTTAGGAAGACGACAGTGATATCCAAAAACTAAAAAAGCTAGCCAGAAACATCATGAACTAGATGCCAAAGCACATGAAATAATTATGGTATCACATGATGGGGTAAGTGAACTTTTTCCCATCAGTCATTTGCAGTTACTTAGTGAAATACATTATGCTTTATTCAATTTTTTTTTAGTCTCAGGCATATCCAGTATGCTAAACTGATTCACTTTCCTTATCTGTAGAGTTATACCTTTTGACTGGCATTTGTGCTGTGGGCACCACTTCACCACCATGTCTACAAGTTTCCCTTAATGTTAACCTCAAGCAGCTGTGTGATCTTTAATCAGAGGAAACTACTGAATGCTCTGGAGTCCTTGTTAGCTTTGCAATACTGAACAGAGAGCAATCAGGCTGGAGGCAGAAGTGACAGAAATAGAAGACACCAGGCCAAACAGCAGATGACACAACAATCTGCTGAAAAAGACGTTAGGAGAGGTCAAGAGGGACACAGCTTCTGGTTAAGGGATATAAAAACCAGTCCACTCCCATGAACATAAAGAATGACAGTCTGGTCACAAGGCTTGAAACATCAAGTTGCCATCACTTATGAAAAAGTTATTTTTCAACTTTATAGTACTTTAAACTCTCATTGCCCAGTCTTACAGTTAACAGTGTAGTTAGTATCTTGCACTGCTAACAAAATACATTTCAAACCTTCAAGTTACCTACCTGAAGCCAGCACGCGGAGAGTTTTAGCCACTCCTCCCCATGGAGCGCCTAATGACACATAATCCTTTATGTACTTGTCTTTCCAATCCTGAGTCTGATGGTTGAGGAAGTAGAGGGTGTACATATTACCCATGCTGTGGGCAATTAAGACAACAGGACTTCCATACTGCTCATACATTAACTCTATCATCTTGCGAAGGGCCACAAAATAGTCTCGATTCTCATCTAAAGTAAACATACACAGGTTACACAGTTAATAATTATTAACTGTGAACGCTGAACTTCAACACAATTCTGTAAAACATTATTTTTTTAAACTGTCTGTGGAATTAATAATACAGAGCTTAGAAATTCCAGTATTAAGTGGGAGGAGTGCATGTTTTTGTAAGGATGTGTTTTGGTGGTGTGGGGTTTTTCTTGTTTTGTTTTTAAGCAAGTCTTAAGTATCAAGTTGTTTAAAGCAAAAAGAGAAACCACATCACAGAGCTTTCGTCTGGGTCCAGGGGTACCCAGGCCCCAAGAACTAGTCAACATTATGGATTTAAGTGTAATTGTACAGGTGGGATGGGAGAAAAGATCCAAAACATTATTTGCTGGCTGGAAGAGTAAAAGTTTTGTTCAAGTAACAATATATTACTTACTTGGTGCCTTTCGCCAGTCATAAGGTGCTCCTCTTACATCTTCATCACGCGTGTAGCCCCAATCTACCAGACTCTGCACCAGCATGTAAAAGTAACTGCCTGTAGACATCAGGTAACAGAGAAGGAGAACAATGAAAAGATTAGCATTAGAACCAACCATCAGACACTATCGTGAAACAAAGTTCTGGAGGCATTATCTGATACTATATGTACAGACATTAAAACTGTAGTCTTAATCTTTGACAGTCTAGGAAGCTGCACATCAAACAAAATGAGTTATGCTCACTGTCCACCAAAAGTGAAAGAATACTATTATTAAAACTTCTTACTAGCTGGCTGATCTATCAAACAAATGTGGCAGCAAAACACAGTACACAGAACAGAAAAATTTTCCTCAGCAGAAATGTGACTTACCCTTGAATTGTAAAAAAAATACACCTCAGAAATTGCTGCAGTACAGTCCTAGCTTTTTGTTGACTGCAAATTAATTTCAGGTAGGGTATCAATACATTCATAAAAGCTGGCCTGGACTTCACCAACATTTATTCTTGGAAACAAATACTTACCGTGTACCCCAGGGTAAAATTCTGGAAACTACCCCAAAACTATTTTTCTACCTATCAGGGTGTGTTGGTTTCTACTCAACTCATCTCATTTTCCAAAAGTGTCTGTCTTCAAAGTGCCTCCTCAAGTTTCATCCAGAGAACTTAAATTTGGCACGAGACTAACATGGAATGTTCTCCTCTCAATCTATTAGGCCAGAAAACAGACAAAACAATATAATGCAATGAAAATACTTAGAAGTGAGCCATGTACTACCCTACTACCAAAAAAATTATAAAAATGTGTTTTTCTACTTCTACACAGAACTTCCCATTTCAGTAGCTTGTTGTAGAAAGACACACTAGAAAAGTCCTACAAGTGACAAGGCACTTCAGACACAGCTTGTACATACCAACACTCCTTTTACTTGGGTCAAGGAATTCCAAGGAAAATGTCTGCCCAAAACCTGGGACTCTGATATCTACTCCATCTGGTGATTCTGTAATCTTACTTGTTCGATTATATACCAGCCTGGGGGGAAAAATAAAAAAAGATAAAAACATGAAACGTCATATTACCACATGACAACTCTCAGCTACATTGGGTCTTATGTTTGAGTGCAGTGACAAGAACTCTTAAGTGCTATTACTCAGAAGAAAAAAAAAAAAAACAAACACGCAGACATGATAAGAGTACTCTAATGGCTAAGAGGTTACACAATGCAAACAATTATTTTAATTAGTTTAATACTTTACGTGCAGAATCTGAGACTTATCTTCTCTATAAAACTGAGCATACAAAATTGTAGCTGAACTTCAACTTCAGAATAAGCTACTTTATACAGTTTTATACATTGCACTTTGCATCAGGCAACATAACGGAGATAACTTGTTGACAACATAAGAATGTGGCAACAGAAGATAAAATACCTGTAAAATCAGATAGCAAAAAAATTTTCCTAGATAGAAAGAATTCACCTCTGTTTAACTAGAACACCCATACCAGCATAAGGGAGTACTTGATATTTCTTGACTAATAACAGTTGGAACCTCAGAAAACACAGAGGTATGGAGTGTTTTGTAGATTCTTTTCAAATCAATTTCAGATACAAAGAATCTGGAGCATTGGGTCAGGGGTTTTTATTGTTGTTAGGGTTTTGTTTGTTTGTTCTTAATACTGTATCAATACAACTCCCATTTCTGAATGCAAGTTTTTAGTCCTAGATGGACTCTTAGAATCCAAATTGATACTCAAATCTTCACACACCAAACATCTCTCTAACCTCTAAGGCATATAGCAAGACTTGAAGCAGAGGTACAACTAACTACACAACAGCTTGGTGCAAGCTCACATTCCCCCTGCCTGTTCCCTCTGAGCTGCCCAAGGTACCTCATTCCCCCCTGCCTCATCAAAACTTCAGTAAATAATCAAGAACAGAAGATGTACTGCTTTAGATAAGAAGTGTCTGCTAAGTGCCCAAACCAATACTGGGTAACTGGTATGAGAGAAAGTGCAAGAAACTAAGAGAACCTCCACTTTTCATCAGTGACAAACAGCTACCTCAGCTGCAACAGAGCTACATCTTCTGATTCATCCTGTTACTCTACCTAGCAGAATTCCAAGTCATTTCTCTGGCTGGTCTTGAATTAGAAAATGAAGTTTAAGGCACCCATTCTGTACAAACCATGTCAGTCTAAGGAAAGGAGATAACTGTAAAGAGCAACATTTCTAGTCTTACCTGATGTTATCAATCCAGCAGTCAATAATGACAGGCAGAAGCAATTCTAAATTCAGCCAGAGTGTAAAATAACTGTCTGTCTTCTTAGAGCAGAGATAGTGCACTACTGATGGCTTATCTAACTTTGCTTCCAACTGATTACCTAAGTCCCCCGGAACTGAAAGAAATAAAAAGGAGACACTTAAAATTAAAGTGTATAACATTTTACATTATAATAAACACATCTTAAAACTGTAGCCCTCGTATGCAGTACCACCGCATCCAGAGATACCATTAAGTTTTGTAACTGGATTTAAAAAAAAAATTACAAAAGAACAAAGTACCGCATGCACATTTTCACTGAAGATATGTGGATTTTAAAAAAATAATTTGCTGGGGAACCACCACGTAGAATAATTCTGGGTCAGTAGTTCATAACTTCAAAGAGCAGACTGTATAGGAACAGATCATGTTAGACCATGGGTATGAAAAACAGATGGTCTCAGACATTAAAGTTATCTGTGTTTTAAAGTGCAAACTGAATCTTTCTGAAAGAATTTTTTCTTCAGAGTATTACAATTGCATATGCAAGTCTTTATTATTTTTAAATAGTTACATGCCAACTATCAATTTGACATAAAAAACATGAAAAGTGAAAGCAGCTCCATTTGTGGTTTATTTTCACCACTTCACTTCTGACCACACTTTTGCTACCTGAGATTTAGTTGGCTAGCATAATAATCCCAATACCTAGTTTCATATCTTTTACATTCAGGTTTAGATGCAACAACAGTTTTTATCTTCACTTTTTTTTTTTATACATTACATTAGTAATACTCGGAGAGAAAGGTCTTGTACTTGCATCTTCTCTGAAGTGCGCTTTTCTTAAGGCATATACTAAATGCCATATTCCTTTGATGAAATTTTATTCGCCTTTATTTTAAACACCAGATGGAGACAGGAATATTATTTCTAAATTAGTATTAAACTTAAAAAAATACTCTTGCAATTTTCAGCAGCAAGTTTCCAGAGAAACTTCTTACATTGTTATGTTTAATCATTTTTTTTTTCCCCTCAAGAACCAGAAAGGAAAAAGATACTTCAGTAACCGAAAAGTTTCTCTGTATTAGAATAATTTAGGAGTTAGGGACTTCTTAAAGGTGTGTCATGTCGTGTGTCCCCCGCTTCAGCTCCACACACCCCAAACCTTTTTGGAGTGTGCATAAGTGTATGCTATTTACTTGTCATTATTTAATTTTGCAGTTTTTTAATGCAGGTCTATCCATACAGTTGCCTCCCCCCCCCCCCCCCCCCCTTCAGTAAATTTAATCAAAACAGTTTTAAGTTCTATAGAACACGGATACTTAGCAATAATTTAAAGTAAGTGTAACACCTAGTTTAACTGGAAAGCCAGATATGTTTTCAGAGAAGCACTTATTGCAGAACTGAAAGGACAAAATTTCAGACTAAATATAGACCTGGACAACCACACTTTTACAGCCTTGAACCACTGCAGGTTATGCACTGCCACACAAGATACACCTCAGGATTTATTAACTACCCCTACTTTCTCATTAGTTTTTTAGTGGTTTTATTTCTGTATTCTTAAGTGAAAAGTTAAGAGACTCAGTAGCTGACCACAGTTTATTTTAGGTCATATTTCAAGGACTCTGATATACTGGAAAGCATAGTAAGGGAGATTATAGTATTGCATCATACCCTAGAAAGAGTTTACTAAAGTTCAGTCTTGTAACCTCGCAAAATGCTATTTCTTATTGCTTATAGAACTATAAGGCAACAGCTTGTTCCAGTCTCGTGCCTGTGCTGTATCAGTGCTCTTAATTAGAAAAGGAACAGAATGTAATTCTATTTATATGAATCATTCATGGCCAGCCAGTTTCAGCAGCAGACCTGCCAAAGACAGAACAGGTTGATTTTGTCTTCCATTTCAATGCAAAACAAAGTAGAAGAGTGACATTCTGTTCTACCTTAGAATCTCATTTCCTCAGGTAAGAATCAAGTTCTTCCAGCAAAGATACCTTTCAAAAACTTAGACAAACATCTGGAGTATCAGAGTGTTAAGAACTTGCTGAGGTTTCCAAACAGCACTCAAATAATTGTAAGCACTCCCACTCAGAGTAGGAAGACTCACAACTGAAGAAGTTTAAGACTATAATCAAGATACATTTACCAACAAGAGTACTGAAAGCAGGAAACTGTAAAAAGTTTCGCTTGGACATAATGGAGTAATCTTAGATTAACTGCAAGTTTAATTTGGCTAAGATATTTTATCCTCAAGCTTCTTGAGGATAGAGGCTGTGCTCCTGTGTCCAGAGCAGAAGATGAAAAACATTACATACTAATTTTTACTCAAGGGATGACAAGGAACAAGTTGAAAAGTGGTAATTTTATGTAATTCTAAACAAAAGATAAGGAGCAAGTTTCACATGTGCCAAGATACAATACTGCAGTTAAAAAAAATAAAGTCTCATGTACAGGTGTGATGCCTGTTTGTTTATAAACCAGGGATTAACAAAAAACCCCTCATTTTTTTCAGGTTTACACTTCCATATTAACAGTAAAACTGCTAATCACTAATTCACAACTCATGTTCTATTTTCTAAAATATATTCTGCAAGCTGAAGAGGGTTCAAGAAGCTATAGAGAACAAAATGCAAGTTTTGATTTTTCAGATTATGGAAAGAAACATGCAAGATCTTAAATTCTCACCCCATACAATTTAACAGCATTAATGATTTACATTTTGGCTGGAGAACTACTTAGTGGCTTTTTGATAAGTAACAGGTTAGAAAAGATCACATTGAAGATTAATTCTGTAAGATAAGAACATCTCTTTCTGAATTTTCTGTGATAAAATTTGAAAGCAGTAAAAAAATCCCCACATTTCCCATTGCTTTCAGGCCATACACAGAAAGCATCTGTGGGCAGAGTAATCTGTAAGTAATTTTCCTCCTCATCCTCTCATCTACCAATATCTGTAGTTTCTAAGCCTTTTTGCTGGAAAATTACAGAAAGTTCTTACGTTTCAAAGCCCACATAAATGACCCCATAAATGTACAAAATAACTGGCAAGCAAAGTTCTGCAAAACACATCAGCACAAGTTAAAACTAGATGTCCAAGAAAAGATCTCAAGCAGCACCCTTGCTTCCCTAATTTGCAGTTGTGTAATACACAAACTGACTTCTGAACTGTGACATTTGGAAATATAATGAGATTTCATATTCAGCAGAAAAAAGTGTTTCTATCAGATTTGAGGATTATCAGTTCTAGCATATTCTTATTTTCCACAAAGATAGTAATCCCAGCAGAACTCATTCTAATAAATCTATGAGTCCAATTCACTTATAATACAGGTTTTTTTCTCAACTGCCCTGACAAAACTAGTAGATCTCCTTCTGGGATGCGATGTTCTTTGATTAAACTTTATGGAAAGCACATTTATAAGTGCCATTTGAGAATTTAAGAGAGGTTACAGACTTTTCCAAGTCTGGGAACTACAATAACTAGCTTTAGGATACACTGATACTCCTATCACTATCCTGAAGTCCTAACGACTAATTCACAGTTCCCAGCAGAAGACAATAAGCAGATTGTACCCTGGAAAGTGACTTACCTTAGTACTGCTCAGGAAACAAAGAGAAAGGAACATTCAACAAAAGCCATGAATAGGGGGATTTAAATTTCATTTGGAAAAAAGAATCAATAGTACCTATATAATAACAGGGGGAGGGGAAGCTATTGTATTTGTGGCAAAGAGGCTTTTTTTTTTTTTTAACTTTTATCTGAAATGCAAATACCTTTGGATATATATCAGCTATCATCTTTTTTACTGGTATAATTTCTTCAAATAACCGTCATCTTTTTGGTTCTATAAATTATCCTTCCTTCTAAAATGAACCAAGTTTTCCAGAAAATTAAACTCTGACCACAGTTCTCTAAGGAGAATGTCTCGAAGTAGCTCGTAGACTCAATGATAGAACGCCACAGAAACGGCTTGTGTTTAAAATTAGGAACAAGAAAGCAAACAACATCTCACATGATCCTCCTAGATACCTCAGATCACATGAGGCATAAACATTTAAATCACTCCTGGCATCTAGCCAGCTGACCATACAAACATGCACATCTCAATTAGCAGTCAGC